TTAATTTTTACAATCTCTCATATTTATGACATGATTTCTATGGCTCTTTTAATTATTCTGTTCATTTGAATTCTTCCAAATATTATTTGTCATTAAAATAATCAATATCATAAGTTAAGAATAGTTTTGTTTCTTATCATTCTTTAATGAACATGAAACATCTTTTTTTTTTGTCCCCAATATCTTTTACTTTCATTTTTTTGTTTTTTGCAATATTTTTCCAGTGTGCTATATTATATATAACTTCCAAATATTTAATGAGCTATAAGCATTCATTAATCATTTCACCATACATTTGGTTATGCTTTTGTAAAACTGATCTTGGTTACAAAACTACTGTTTGATTTGCTTCACAATTTCAGTTATAGATGCTGATCAGATTTCTTCAAAAGGTCATAGGTTATAACTTAATTCTTGATGTTGAAAATAATGATAACGTATTATATCACTTGAGCAAATTTGTACAAGTTTCTTCATATACACTAACACATGTATTATCAATATCTTCTGATCAAGTGAACTACCTCAAAAGATCAGAAAAAAACCAAAAAATCTTGCTAGATAATATAATCATGAATCATATTAGTGGTTCATAATAGGGATCACTCATTTGTTCTTCTTTATTGTTATTTAATATTGTTACACATGCCTACAGCAAAAAAAAGCTATGAATATTTTAAGAAAACCTGGGCATTAATACTAAACATGGTGATCATTAACTTATTGTTGAAACTGTATTAATGTCGCATATCATTTGTTTATGTAAAGGACTCCTGCTCTTTTGGATACTACTCTGTTAACAAAATCAGTTTTTTTTTACCACTGCATAATTGATTTCAGCCATGTTACACAAGTGTCTAGACTGTCTCCCACAATAGAAATCTTTAAGCTGTAGTTTAAAAGATAGCACCAAGCTCAGTTTTGAGCATCAGATCAGTAATCATGGTGATGGCTGATGACAAATGTCGAATTATAGCCAAAGCTGTGTGATTGCAAATTTTATAGATACTGCAGATAAAAGTAGCCATCCTTGAAGCTTACTATGAGGAGTGGCAAGAATCACGTAAACAGGATATGGCAAAAATTATGATAGTGAGGCAGAAATTTTGTAGCTATATATTTTACTTATAAAATATGCAGTTTCAGATAAAGTATGCAGCAGGAATTCCCCACCAGAGTTTAGGGGCATTACAGTGGAAGAGGGTCGTAGAAGTGTCAATGACCCAAACTACATCAGAAATGTATATTAATACAATCAGTTCATAATTGTTAATTACCACATTTTTGACCTTGTACAATGTACAGAATGTCCCTCTAAGAGGAAATCTGGCCAGCAGCAGCAAAACTATAGGCAGCAGAGAAGAGAAGGAAGAAGAGGAAAGGGGGGAAATATAATAACTATAAGAAATATTTAAAATGCTATTTGTATACATAAGCTATTATATTATGACACATTGCCATATATTTGCATTGAATATATATGCATGCATCTTTACAACTTAAAACTCGTATGGCTTTCTATACATATGACTTTACAACTTAAAAACTGTAAAGCCTGCATGTGTGTGTGTATATATATATATATATATATGTATGTATGTGTGTGTGTGAGAGAGAGAGTAGATATAAATACTAGTCAACATGCATTGCATATGCAAAACTCATGCAGTTACAAAATCCAGTCCATGTTCCAATACAGTTCAGTAGTACCTTCAATCCAGTATTTACAGACTCCCCATATAGCTAAAGGATATAAATATATTAGATATATATATTTTACAAACATGCACATAATATGTGATATGTTGATCACCAAGCATCATAGTGATCATATATGCAGTACCACTATCAGTGAAAACATTGTGGCAATGATATCGGAAGCAATAGCCATCCAATCTGCATGAAGCCAATCCAAAGGTTGTCATTGTTTCCCGAGAGAGTATCATACATCAACTACGTACTTCATTAAACTAAACTGTTTCATATAGGACAGTATTGCTATAATACAGAGTTATGTCCATGATGGACATAAAAAAACTACAGAAAGAGGATTATTAAAAATTGTTAATTTATAAAGGGGGAATAGGGACTTTTAAAAAAGCAAAAACAAGCTTAAGATTTGAGATATAGTGTTGACATTATATCCTCAAGCTACAAATCCCTATTTTGACTCCACGTCTAAAAGCTGTAATATTTAGGAGAGTCAAAATAGGAATTTGTAGCTTGAGGAAATAATGTCAACACAGTCTCAAACCATAAACCTGTTTGTATACTTTTTTTTTGTGATTGAATTTTTACTTTAAACTACCTATCTTGTTTCTGTGTTATTTTGTAAGATCCCTTTCCCCCTTTTTAAATTAACAATTTTTAATAATCTTCCATAGCTAAGTGCAGCATAGGTAGAAATATGTAATAACATAAAATCTTATGATAATTAGAATACATCAATTCATCTGTTGAATACTTTTAATGTTATCAACACACACTGCTACCATCTGAATGCTAGAACATTTATCTCAGTGACAAATGAGATCTGACAATAGTAAAATATTAAAATCCTGAAAGTTGCCAGAAGTGTAGGAAATGTATCATTTCCAAATTACAATGCCTAGGAATTGAAGTTATGATTTTTCTAAGCCAACTTCTAATTTTGTTTAAGAACAAAGATGAAAAAAAAATTGTTCAAGGATTATGGCCCGGACCACTTACAGTTCTACATGTTTTAATACTTAGTTGCCTCTGAATAGGATAAAATATTACATAAGATAAAGTTATCTGTGTCTCATATCAGTCCACACTGATAGCAGTTAAAATAGTAAACTAGCACAATATAATCATATGGTGGTGTATATTGATTACCACTGAGCATACCATACTAAGACACATGAGCTATATCTTAGGTTCGTATTATGAAATGATATAAATTATTTAATAAGAGCTGTACCTCTACTCACTTCCTTTGGGATAATTTAATACATTGATTACTGAATCATCTGTGTAGGATGAAGAAAAGTATTTAAAACTGATAGCTTCAGTAAGCAACAGAAAACTTAGTGATATTTCTAAGTTAAATGTCAAAATTTGTTTTCCTTCAAAATTATTTAAAACCAATTTAACCAAAAGAAATTATTAGCTAAATATGTTCTCTGTTATCTGTAAACATAATTTAGGAATTTAATGCATTCTTCTCAGACTGACTGAGATAGGTTTGATTCTAAAACTGCCAAGCTATGAATAAGGAAATTATAGCCTGTTATTTGTAAACATTAGTTTTAAATAGATAACTGTAAGTTTGATATAACTATTTAAATGTTGAGCAGAAATAAACAAAATTTATGTAGTTTTTTTCTTTTGGCAAAAAAGACAGAATATGTGAAATATATGAAGTTTATTCGGGGTTATTCAATCATCTATGTGTGTGTGTGTGTGTGTGTTACAGTGTTTTGTGGGGTGTAAGAAATTTTTTTACATAGTTTTGTTTCTGAAATTGCATCTTATATGTAAATACCTTTTTGTTTGTTTCTTTCTCTTTTCAGCTTTTACTTATTTAAAATTCAACTTCAAGAGATATATAATTTTTATATATAAGATATAAAAGTATATTTTTTATTAATTGTTATGAAAATTGGTTCATCTTCATGTGTTACAAATAATACATTAATGAAAATGTAATTTCTTTGAACCAAAATTACTTAGTCAGAGGTGATTAGTTGATTAGTAATGGACATGATAACCATGGAATTGTTTTGCTGGATTGTGTCCAGGAACCAAGACAAAACATTCTAACCAAGATAAACTATGTTTAGTTTTTTTTCTTCATTTTTGAGAGAGGTGGCTGTTATCTGATTTTACTTATATTTTTGTAGTGGATGATGATTCTCAGATGTTTCATGTATAGAAGTGGATGAATTAATTGATTAATCAAAATTACAAATAATCGATTAATGTCATGAAAATAATCAACTATTCGAAATTGATGTTTCTGATTATTACTGTTTTCAATTATTTTAACAATTGACTAATCAAAATTATGATTAAATTGTCAAGTTACATGGCCAAACCTTGAGCTTTCACATATCCCATGATCAACATGGCTCAACTGCATCTCACATGTAAATCATCATGCAACACACCCTCCTAACACGTGACACTCTCTATTCGATTCCATCAAACTATCACTTCTTGTTTGGCAGTGCTATCATCAAGGCATTTTTTTGTTTTTGCTCTCTTTCTGCATTTGTTTTTATTCCATACCAAGTGGAAATAAATATATATATATATTTCTCTACTTCACTCTAACAGTTTTAACTGAAAACTTACCTTTATTGTTCTTTAAATTTTTTTGGTTTTCACTGAACCCCTAAGTCTAGAGATATTGTTAGTGTGGAAAAAGCCAACATCTGAAAATTTACCATGGCAACACTTAACTGAACTCATATTTTTGTAATAGCTTAGAAATAACCAGTTATTGGCTGAGAGTTTGACCAGATGATGTAGACACCAGTTAGTGTTGATTTCAGAAAAGCTCAAAACACTTTTAAGGTAATTAATACCCAAATCAAATAAAAACACTGTTTAATATTTCTTTTTGATACTATATAGTAGTTTAAGGACATTGTATAAGACATATACAAATTGATTAATGGGTCCATTGATTAATCAGTTAGCAAATATCACTAATTGACCAAGTCTACTCATGTATTTAGCTTTTGAAGGTAAATAACAATAACTATCTCACAGCCACAAGTGGTGAAATGAAACCTTGAAAATTACAAAGATGTGGTCAGTGGTGCTATTAGTTTTATCCCAAGGCACCACTTTCTTGCAATTCAGTTACTTCATGTGTACACAACATGAAGTTTTGGTAATAAAAAAGTAAGCTTGGTTATATGTTTGTTCCATTAAACCTTTTGAACTAGGTTTTATTAAATAAATTAAGCTTTGTTTTTTAACTGTATGAACTTTAAAAAAGTGTACTAATATATTTTTTATATTTTTAGATGAAGTTGATCCATTTCGTTTTCTTGGGTACAAAAACAAACGCTCTAATAACACTCAAAAGGGACAGGTTCCTTGGTACATTGAATGGGATAACCAATTTACAGAAGGTAAGAAAATCATGGTTTATAGTAACTTAGTTATTTTTTCAGTGTTGTTTCCACAAAATATCCCAAGTAGTTTTTGTCTATAAATTTCGAAGGCTATCATGAATATGGTCAGTACCACCAGTAATTGATGTTAAGTACTAACAAATGTTGTTACTCTTTTGTGCATTTATAAATGTTTTTCCAATATAGATATTTTGTTGAAAAACAAGTGTTACATGATTAGTGTTTTAATTTGCTGCAATATAAAAATGAATTTGTTTATCTTCAGATGTTACAGATGTCTGTTTTCGGTATTACCATGGAGTGACCGGGGCACTCAGAGCAGTTAGTCCTGTTGTAACTTTAAGAAAATGTGCTGATGTCAGCATTCAGGTATTAATTGTGTATTTGTGTGTTCTGTTATACCTGCTGTAGACACAAATTTCATAGCAAAGTTGTTTTGTATCGCCTTTACACATTGTTATGATAACAATCAACTATATGTAGACTGGTTATGAGTCAATTTGAACAAGTAAACTTATTTATCTAATGTTGAGTTATTACACATTCAGGTTTTGTATTGTCATGAATATTATGAATAGAGTGTATAGTTAATGACTTCTGAACATAAATGAAGATTGTATATGAATAGTAAAATATTTATTTGTAAACGTGGCCAAGAAAATGCTGTAAAACTAAGTCTAAGTAGTCATGTAAAATTATGCTAAATGAGCTTATGTGTGATGCTGATAATGGAGTTGAGTATATTATGTTAAAAGATTTTGAACATGCAAATCAGCAAGTCACATGACAACCACAGGTGACACATAGTTGTGGTGAAAATATCAAAACTAGATTATGGCTTTGTTTGACATTTCATAGGTAGTGTGTTGTCACAAAAAATTGATTGCTTTTAGAAAGGATATGTAAGTGCTCTTTCTGATGCAAAATATTCATCCCCTCAGTTTACAAAGATGTTTTGAAGTAGTTAATTTAGTATAGTAATGGCATTGGGAAAGAAAGGAGTGTTGATAAATAAAACGTGACCTATTATTCTGTTGAACATAATTGGTTTTATTTAAGTCAACGTTTCACCATTATGACTTCATTGGAGTAACCAAGACACTTGCTAACTGATTTATGCTTATACAAACGATTTCAAAATAATTCGAGTCTGTGCATAATTTCTCAAATGTACTTACCTCCTTTCACACCACAGCTGTTATTCAACTGTTAGGGTTTCCTTCCTTTGCCCATCTAAGCATTGATCTGATTTTTTTTTCTCGCTTGTTCCAGACTTTTATTCCCCACTTACTTGCCCTTGGTGATATCTGTCTCATGACACTCTTCACCTACGTCAATGTGCTCTCTATCCTAGTACTGTATAAAAGCACCTCATTCACATAATATTATCCCTTTTTCAAGACTGGCCCAATCAGCAGTCTCTAACACTAACTCTTAGTGGAGAGTAAGGGCGGGAGAGTGGAAGAGTAGGTAAGTATTACTGGAAATACATTTTGATTTAAGAAAATGTTAACTTTTGCAAAATTATATTGTTGTACATTGTAAAATTGAAAGTATATAATTTCACAATGTACAACAGTATAATTTTACAACAATTACGTATATACATTATTGCATAAGGTCCACCTTACTGTGCAGACTCTAATTAAAATTCGATGACGAGGAACCCACTTTGAGACTAATAATGGCTGGAGACGGCTTAAATGGGTAATGAAGAAGAACTTTAATATAAGTTTAACATGACAGCAAATGTACAACGTTTCGACAAGGTTTGTCATCAT